GGGACGGGGATGGAGAGAGGGGCAGGGACAGGGATGGAAACAGGGTTGGGGATGGAGAGAGGGATGAGGATGCAGATGGACAGGGATGCAGGAAGAGACAGGGATGCAGGCAGGGATGGGGATGCAGGCAGGGATGGGGGTGCAGGCAGGGATGGGGGTGCAGGCAGGGATGGGGGTGCAGGCAGATGAGGATGATGGTAAGGACAGGGATGCAGGCAGGGATGGGGACGCCATGCTCCACCCCAGTGGACACCCACAGCCGCTGTCCAGGGCACAGTGGGATCCAGCCTGGCCATGGTTCCTTCCCCCCCAGCCCCTAAGGAAGGCTCAGCAGTCACTAATTGCTTGGGACACCCCTCGGGGTGTGGGGGGAGACTGAATGTTCCTCCCCCGGCAGCTCTGCTGGCCACGGCTCCAATTAGCCTGGTTATCCTGCGTCGCTGCTGATTAGGGGCCGGGTAATTGCCCGGCGTTTGGTGTCCCTTAGAGCCACATGGCAGCAGCCATTGCATAAGCGCTGGGCAGGCGTTACGTGAGCGAGCCAGGCCAGCCCGGGGCTCCAGTTACACCTGGCCCTGATGCCCCCCAGCTCCCAGCCTCGGGCTGTGACAGGGACAGCCCTGCACGGGCTGCACGACTCAGGGCTGCACCCCACTGCTGCCTCAGTTTCCCCCTTCTCCATGCTCTGCACTCACAGTGTGACCAAATGACACCCAAGGCCCCATGGACCCACAGCCCCACGCCATGGCCCCTGAACACCACAGCCCCACACCGCAGTCCTGTTCCATGGCCCCACAGCCCCACAGCACAGCCCGTGCCCACGCCAGCCTTTGCACAAGCAGCAGCGAGGTGCAGTGACTCACAGCACTGCAGCGAGGCCACGTGCCCAGCACCATGCCTGATCCCACTGGCTGCCAGGACTGGCACAGCTGGCAAAGCCACATCTCATCCCCATGTCTGAGGGCACTGCCTTGTTTGCTTTGGCACAGCTGAGGGAGCCTCATCCTGCACCACCGAGGCACCTCAGCAGCAGGCCTGGGAGGAAGGGTGGCACTGACACCCTGCAGAGGACAAAGCAGTGGGGACCCAACCCCTGAGCAGGGGGTGCCCCTTGTATCACCCCCACAGCCAGGGGGGCACAATAAGGCTCAGTGGTTGCAAGTGCTGCAGATCTCCTGCAGCCCCCCTGGCCCCCATTGCTGCCCCCACTTCCAGCCCAGTATGGGGGGATATGGCTGGACCCCCATCCAGCCCTGGGACTGGGGGACAGGACCTGATCCAGCCCTGGGACTGGGGGACAGGACCCTGATCCAGCCCTGGGACTGCGAGACAGGACCTGATCCAGCCTTGGGACTGGGGGACAGGACCCTGATCCAACCCTGGGACTGCGAGACAGGACCTGATCCAGCCCTGGGACTGGGGGACAGGACCCCGATCCAGCCCTGGGACTGGGGGACAGGACCTGATCCAGCCCTGGGACTGGGGGACAGGACCCTGATCCAGCCCTGGGACTGGGGGACAGGACCCTGATCCAGCCCTGGGACTGGGGGACAGGACTCCTGCCCAGCCCCGAGGCTGGGGGCTGCTGTGGGGCATGTCCCCCAGCTGAGGATGAGATGTGGGGACACCAGTGCTGTGGCCCCTGTCGGTGGGTTCACCCCGTGACCCACTGCCTGCCGGGCAGGTCAGCCATTCCAGATGGGAAACTGAGTCACAGCAGGCACCTGGCAGTGCCCCTGGCAGGGAGCCCAGGGCAGGGACACCGCCGGGTCCGGCTGGACCAGCCCGGGGCTCGCCGAGCTCGGGGCTGCTGGCCCAGCCCTGGTGGGGGTCCCCGAGCTGGGTGAGGGGCTCAGGGTGAGGGGCGGTGGGTGTGGGGCAGCGATGCTGGCAGAAGGTTCCCCTCTCGCTGGGTGGGGCTCGAGGGAGAGCAAACAGTGATTAAGGCGCGATGGTGTCATCCGGAATTCCTGCTCACCTCGGGGCTGGCTGCGCCGCTCCTGGCGGCACAGCCGTGCCAGCGGTGCCCACTTCAGTGCTGCCACGGGCTGGCACGGCCCCGCCGTCTGCCCTGGCCCTGGTCATAAAGATTTGGCAGCGAGGCTGGGGCAGGAGGAGAAGGGCTGGATGGTGGCAAGTGTCAGTTTTTGGTTCCTCATCCCTTCCTGGTGGCCCTTTCCTTCCTCTGCCACTGGTGCCACCTGGGCTGCGCTGGATCCAGCCCCGCTGGACCTGTCCCCCAGCATTGCCCCAGCGGGTGCAGCTGCTGGCGCCGAGTCTGGGCCTGGCACCACGCAGGAACCAAGGGCAGCTCTGGCCCTGCCGCCCCACTGCTCCCATCACCAGGAGCAGCACCAGGAGATACTGGGCTGAGGGTCTGAAGGGAGCTGCACCAGCTCCTGTCACTGCGTGGGGAGGGGCAAAGGGGGTTTAGGGGACGTTCTGTCCCTCCACTGCTGCCACGGCAGAAACAGCCCTGGTCAAGGCTGCTCCTCTCATAGGAACAAATGTTACTCCAGGGGCTCAGCCACCAGTGCACCGGCTCCACCTCGCTCTGGCTTTCCTGGGACCAGGACCCCAATTTAAACCCAGCCAAGTCCACGGGGTGAGACCCCACTCAAAAGAAAAACAGGTCCTGCTCTTCTAGAGCCTCTCCACCTCCACCCTGGTGGTCCCCAAACCGTGGGGCTGAGTCGCAGATCTGCAGCAGCCAGCACATGCTCAGGTAACCCTGCAGCATCCCCGTCTGCCCTGGGCCTTTCCCCGGGCCATGCCCAACCTGTGGGCGCCGGGGCGGGCACCGCACACGAAGGGTTAAGGGGCCGGCGGCGGGAGGGGTGCGTGGATGGCTGCGTGGGTCCCGCCTTGCTCACGGCAGGTGTGGTGCCGCTTATGTAACCTCATACTTTTGGGTTGCGCTGAGCGCTCGGGAGTATTTTCGCTCTCGCTCTGGCGCGATTCAGCCACGACTGTCCCAACAGCAGCAATCGGCGAGCGCCTTTTGGGAGGGGCGAGGCCGCCGGGGCCGGACCCTGCGTGCCGCGGGGAGTCACCGCGCTGCTCCCGGTCTCAGTTTCCCCATCTGAAATGGGGCTAATGAGGGTGACCTGCTTCGGGCAGCTCCCGTGACCCCGACCGGGGCCGCTCGGGATGCGCACCGGGCTGGGATCTCTGCCTCCATCCGGGGCTGCGCTCGCTGCAAGCAGAGCCTGCGAAGAGCGAGGCGAGACGTCGCCCCTCGTCCCGTCTTGCGTGCCCATCCATGCGGAGCAGGCAGGGAAGCCGGGAGGAAGGAGCGAATCCGACCGGCGAGAGCAGCGAGCCCGTTCCCAATCGCCATCAGCGAGATCGAGTCAGACAGCAGCGCTGGAGCGCGCCCGGCCCCTCCGCGCCCCGGCCCCGGCCCCCTCCCCCGGCGCGGAGCCGGCCTGGCAGCACGCAAAGTGCCACCACGGCTCAGCGCCAGCGTCCCTCTGCCACAGCAGGGGACAGCTCCAGGAAGAGCAGGGCAACCCCTCTGCCAGCGGCCCGTCGGCATCTCTGCACGCCGGCTCGGCTCAGCGTTTGGGATGGATGCGGGATGGAATTGCCCCCCCTCAGTTGCCATTAAATTGTTTGATTTGAGCGTTGGGGGGCTGAGGTGTCCCCTCAGGGCCCAGCTGCGAGGGCATCCAGGGAGGAGGCAATGATGCCATGTGTAGGGATGGTGATGGTGGCTGCATCTGTGCCTCTATGGATGTTGTGTCCATGTCCATGGCTGGTGTGGCTGTGCCATGCTTGTGACCACGAGTGGATGCCACGCTCATGGCAGATGCCACACTCATGCTCATGGCAGATGCCACATCCATGCCCGTGGTGATGCCAAATCCACGCCCATGGTGGATGCCAGATCTGTGTCTGCAGTAGGAGCAGTGCTCATGCCTATGGCAGATGCCTTCCCCACACACATCAGGTCTCCAGGCCAGTGCCACTGTCCCCAGGCATCTCTGGGCACTGCTGGGCACTGACCCTGGCACCTGAGCCCTGGCCCAACATTACCAGGACCAGCTGCCTCCACCCCTGTGATGTGGCACCAGGGAGACTCTGGTGACCTGGTGCACCACAAACCCCAGCCAGGGGACTTTGCCCCATGCCGATACCTCGGGCTCTGCACGGCGAGGCCACCATCTCCTTGCACGTCTTAGGCAGTGTCCCTTACCCAGGGCACAACTCCAGGCCCCAAAACCACCTGTGCCTATCCCAGCATGAAGGACGGGGTGGGAATGCCTCCCTGCCACCTTCAAAGCTTCCCACTACTTCCACGGCTCCATTCCCGACCCGCAGGGCTCCCGGGAGGGATGTGCCCCCAGACCTCAGCATCTGCACCCTGGCATGGGCACGCTGGGCAGCCCCACGGGGGTCCCCGTGCTCCCCACAGCCCCCGGTGCCGGGTGCTGCCCCTTCAGCAGAGGCCCCCGGCACTGTCCTGTCCTGCCGGGGTTTTTTGGGATCCTCGCGCCGAGCGGGGTCCCTGGCAGGGACCGCGGGGCTGCACGGGAGCCAAGTGAAGCAAGGGAGCGGTGATTCAGCGGGACACGCAGCCGGCCCCGTGCCTGGGCGAGCCGGAGCGGGACGGGCACCGGCACGTCCCTCCCGGGGGCGGGCAGCCCCGGGGGCAGCTCCGAGCCGCCGCAGCCGGGCAGGGGTCGCGCAGACCCCGGTCCCGGGCAGGCGCCGGCAGCGGCCGCGCAGCGCCGAGCACCGGGCGGCGGAGCGGCGGGGATGGGGATGGAGCGGGAGGAGGAGGAGGACGAAGGGCAGGAGGTGGGGCTGGAAGTGAAACCGATTGGGGGGGGCGGGGCGGGCTCGTCATGTGAACGGCCGCATGCTCGGGCAGAAGTGGGTCACGGCGCGGCGGAGGGGCAGGTGCCAGAGCCGCCCGGTGCCGCCCGGTGCTTCCCGGTGCCGCCCGGTGCCTCCCGGTGCCGCCGCTCCCCGCCGCGCCCCGCGCCGCTCCGGACCCCCGCGCCGCCCCATGCGCCCCCCGGCGCCCTGACCGCGGCGGACACGATGCGAGGTGGGTCCGGGGGGCTGGGGGCTGCGGCGGGCAGCGGCAGAAGTTGGTCCCGGTGGGGATCGGGGAGACCCGCACCGGCCCGGCGGAGGGGGACGGGCAGGACCCGACGTCAGCCCGGCCGGGGATACGGGGCAGCCGCATCAGCCCCGCCGGTGGGGGACGGGGGGACGCGGTGCCAGCCCGGACAGTGACAAGGGGGGATGCGCACCAACTTTGCTGGAGGAGGACGAGGGGAGCCGTATGAGCCCCGCGGAAGGGATGGGAAGGACCCCGCAGCAGCCCCGCTGGGGACACGGGGGGATCCGCATCAGCCCCGCCGGAACGGGACAAGGGGGGACCCGCGCCAGCCCCGCCGGGGCCGCTCTGCCTCCTCCGGCTCCCCCTTCGTTAGGAATAAAATTCTTGTTTATTTTGCTTTGCTTTCCGACGCCGGCTTAGACGCACTCTTAAGCTTTTCCCCGCACTAAACCTCTTAATCTCCTCTTCAATATGTTGCTCCCACCAGGGCTGGATTTATTGTAGTTTTTTTCCCCCTTTTCCCCCTCCCCACGGCGTGGGGGGCAGTTTGGGAGGCTCCTGCAGGGATGGGAGAGGGATCAGGTGCAATTTCGGGTGCCCCTTTTCCGGGGCAGGGGTGAGTTGTGCCAACACCTGCCTGGTTTTACCCATTACCAAAGGCAATTCCGACTTTTCACCCCTCTGCTTTGCCAAGCAGGGGGTGGGGAGGAGGAGGATGGAGGGAGGAAGGGTCCAGCGGGACAATCCAGCGGGGCCTGCTGATGGTGACGCAGCGGTGGCCGGACTCAGCTCTGTTGCCAGCGTGCTGGACTGGGATTTTCATCCTCCTTTAAATCATTTTTCCATCATGCCTTTCCTTCCCCGAGCCCTTCGCCCTGCCAGGACTCCTTCGTGCCCATCCATAGGTGTGTTTTAGGGGTGCACGTCCTTAGGCTCATTTTGGGGTGTGGGTACCAGGACGTTCATCCCGAGCTCCTCAAATCCTGCTTCCTCCCTGCGCCGCGGGTGCTGCGGCTCTGCCCCCGCCGCACTCTTGTGTAACGGAGGGGCCGGGGTGGGTGAGGAGGGCGAGGCGAGCCCCCCACATCCCTTTCCTGCCCCTCGACATCCTGGGTTTTCACCTTTATTAGGACAGGGGAAAGCATTAACGCCTGCCTAATTGCGATCACGCCTGGCTCTTACGTAGCGCTTGCACAGCCAGCACCGGATTAATTAGCAACTGGGCAAACTTTTCCTTTTTTAAAAATATTTTTCCTTTTCCCCCATGAATTTCTGGTGTTGACCCTAATTTAGTGCCAAACCCTCCTGATATCCACCATTTCCCCCATCGGGCATTTTCCCCGCAATCCCGCATCCTCATCCCTCTCGAAGCCCAAATGCCGCATGGCGACGCCAAATTGATTCAATCTCCATTTTCCTACCCAAAACCGCCACCGCTCTGCCCCATTTCCCCGGGGGCCACAGCAGCTCCTCGCTCCTGTCCTCCCCTGCGCCGCGGCTGCGCCGGGGCCGGGGAAGAGGCTTTGCCTTGTATAATCCTATACGATTTCCAGCCCTCCTGCTCACTTGTTTTGCAAGCAGCGTGGCGAGGAGCGTGCGGTGGCTCGGCAGCCTTTGCGACTTGTCCTAGTGACCTAGATCTGTCATTGGAAAAATCAGAGAGGGCGGAGGAGGAGCTTCGCTGCCCGTTTCGGCGGCGTGCACACTGTGCTGGCGCGGCCGGCACCGCCGACCCTCCCGCACGACGGCCGCGCCTGTCCCGCGCACCGGAGCGCGGCGATGGCCGTGCCTGCCGCTTCCCAAAAACCCAGCCGGGAGGAGGAAGCTGTCCGCCGGCTTTATGGGGTCCGGACGGGATTTGGGATCCCCCACCCTGATAACCCCAGGGAGAGTCAGCGGCAGGAGGGGGAAGAGCAGCGCTGGGGGGCCGGTGGTCCCCGTCCCCCCAGCGTCCCTGGCCCTGCTCGCTCTCACGTTTAACTCTGAACTCGCGGCGGCTATTTAAAGAGCTGCTAATGGCTAAATCAGCCCGGTTTATCGGATGTGGCGAGCAGAGCTGCTCTCCTGCCTTTTTTTAGCCCCAGGGAGATAATTCCCTCCCCAGTTTAGCAGCACTGGCGGAGGGGTTCTCCCACCGCAGCCCGGTTTGTCCCCACCCCGGGCTGGCAGGTCCCCCTCCCGCTGCCTCACCTTTGCCACCCTTCAGCACCAGGCAAAGTGCAAAGGGCTGCGTCCTGCGCCGGCGGGGCTGGCCTTGGCACGGCGCTGCGTGGCACCGGAGCTGCTGCACCGGAGCTGCTGCACCGGAGCTGCTGCACCGGAGCGCCCGGGCAGGAGCCTGGGGTAGCCGCATCGCCCATCCGGAGCTGCGATTTCCCTGCTGGGGGCACACGCTGCACCACGGGACGGGGAAATGCAGCGCTTTGCTGGGGACTGGGGGGAATGCAAAACCGTGCCTGCAAGGGAAGGTGGCCATGGGTTGCCCCAGGGCAGGGTGAGAGCAGCTGAGCGCTGTTCGGGCCCAAAGTTTCCTGGAAATCTTTGCTAATCACTTAGGAAAGCAGTTCTCCCTCCAGAATCCCAGCCAGGCACAGAGCCGTGGTTGTGTCATTTAATTTTCCCTGCTGCCCACTTGGCCTCGGTGCTGCCGGTGCCTGGAGCCAGGCTGTGAACACCGGCACGGGCCTGGCTTGTTTGGGGTTCCCTGGGGTGCATGGATGGGGATGGGGTTTTTGGCAGCAATGGCTGAAGTGCCGGGGTGCTGGGAGACCCCAAGGCACTGCAGCACTGGAGGCTGTTTAATAGCAAAGCCAACAGCAGGTATAAAGGGGTGATAATTCCCTTTATTTCCTTATTTATTCCTGCCCAACAGCAAAAGACAGCTGTGGATGGTGACTGTGGGGAAGAGCAGTCACTCCCGGGGCTGGAGGTTGCTGCAGGGAATGCAGGTGCAGAGCTGGGGTTTAGGGCAGGAATGGGAAATGGGGTGGCATTGTAGGTCCCTGCATGTCCCTGTGGGTCCCTGTGGGTCTCTGCATGTCCCTGGGGGTCCCTGTGCTGCCTGGACTCATCCTCCTCTCCCTGCTCTGGCTGCACCAGGGGATGCTGAGTTCCCCTGGAAGGGGAGAGGTGGTGGAGGCAAAGCCCTGGAGCACCCCCGTGCCCTGGCTGGGGCTGGGGGACCCAGGGGGGCTGCAGAGCTGCTGCCAGTTACCAGGGGTGCCCATCCTGGGGCATGGATTGAGCCTGGCAGAGGGATGGGGCAAGGAGCTGCTTCCCCAGCAGGTTCACTGGTAATGAACTGGGGCACTGGGGAAGCACTGGGGGGTATTTGGGGCAGGGAGCCACCTCTGAAATGCACAGAGCTGGAATGCTTGCCCCACTACCTCCAGCAAGGACACCATGGCCTCATGTGGCCCCCCCAGGGGAAGGGGTGGCCATATTCTGCCCCTGTGGGGTGACAGCTGTGCAAGCTCACCCTGGGGGACTATGCAGGGATCTGCTAATGCACCCCAAACCAAAGCCCTCCCAGGAGTCCTCACCCCACAGCCAGGGGTACCCAGTTATGCTGATGGAAGGGAGAGGCAGCTCCAAGACACCTCCAGCAGCAGTGGGGTCACAGCACATGACCCCAAGGCTTAATAGGCTGCTGAGGGTTTTGGGGTGATTCCCCAAAAGCAGTGAGATCATAGGGCTGAGGGGAGGGCCAGGGGGAGCAGGAGGAGGAGGAGGAGGAGGAGGAGGAGGATGGGGCCACCATCCTCCCTGCACCACAGAGGGGGTTCTGGCCCCCCGTGGCTGCATCCTGCGGGGCCTGCCTTGTTTTGTTTCGGGGTGCAAGGATGCCCGCCCTTGGGGCGGAGGCGATGGAGAGGAGGGTGTGCCGGCCGCCTCCCGCCCCGGGGAGGGCGGTTCTGGCTCTGCCGAAACCACCGGAGCCTCCAGCCCGGCCTGGGGTCGGTGTGCTGGGCTGGAGGGGACACACACGGCGGGTCTGGGGGGTGACAGGGTGACAGACCTGTGCCCCTCACCTGCAGCTGCAGCTCAGGGTGACAAACGGGTACCCCCAGCTGGAGCTATCACCCCAAATCGCCCCAAAATCCCCGCTCCCGGTGGCGGGAGGTCGGGGGGGCCACCCTGAGCGCCAGCCCGGGCGGGAGGGGCCGCGGGCCCGGAAGGGTTAACGGCCGTGGTTACACAAGCACGCGTGGCCACGGGCAGAAAGTGTGTCAGTGGGACAGGATGGCTCCCGCGCCGCCCCGGGGCCATCGCCCCGCCACGGCCGCGGCCCGTGGCCGGACCGTGCCACAGGGCCACTTACATAAGGGCCGGCGGTGGCAGCGGGCCGGGAGTTGGGCAAGAAGTGTTTACAGTGGGAGGAGAGCAAATACCACCGCCGGGACATTTTAATTGCCGGCTGGAGATCATTATTGCTTTTTTTTTTTTTTTTTTTTAACCCTTTCGTTGTTTCTTTTATCCCGATCCCTATTTTAACCCCATCGGCCACGGGGTGGAGTTTTCCTGCTGCCTCCCCGAGAGGGGGAAGAGGTTCACCCCTTCCTAAATGCCCCCCTCCCCCCAACCCGTTCCCAGTGTGGCCGATGGTGGCTCGGCTGTGGTGGGAGGAGATGCTAAATTCTCCGGTGGGGAAACTGAGGCACGGGGGTGGTGTGGGGTGGTTGGAGTGGAGGAATAATCCGGGATTTGGGGGTCTACTGAGATGCTTTCCCTCATCACAGTGAGATTTAGGGGGATCCTGGAGATGCTGTGGCCATCCCCCCACACCCACATTCCTTCCCATCCCCCAAATCCTGGGGATTTGCCCCAGGAGTGTGTTTGGGGGTCACAGGGGAGATGGGGGGACGGTCCGGCCGCCTCGGGGGTCCAGAGCTGCGGCACGAGGGGACACTGATGGAGCCGACTCGGTGATTCAGCCGGGTTTACAATCAGAGCAGCAATTAACCGTGCTGGGCTAATTGCCATCGCCAGGTTACGGCCGTATCTCCACGTCAGTTATTTGGGGCGAGCGTCTTACGAGCGGGTCAGGTGCCAGTGGTGGGCACGGCCGGGTAATTAGCAGGATGGTAATTAGAGCCCCAAAAGGCGGCGGGCGCCCGGCGGGTGGTCAGGGCTTCTCCTCGGCCAGGACAGCATCACCCGCACCACCCCCGGCTCCAGCCCCGGGGGGCTCTCGGGGAGCGGGATTTTCCTGTAATTTGGGATTACACGAAGCCTTTGGGATGGCTGGAGATTTTGGGCACTGCGGGCTGGCACGGCTGGGCGCTGCTGGGGGGTACCGGGCCGCGCTCAGCCCCGGTGTTTGCCGGTGTTTGCCGGTGCCGGTAATTCGGGTACCGGAGTATCGGCCGCGGGCGTGAGGGCGCGGCGGCCGCGCTGCATCACCCGCGCTGCCGGCGGCTGCAATTAGCGTTGCATAACGAGCCGACGCCGCTTCCTGCCGGGGGTGGCACCCCCTCCCTGTGCCCCCCGCCATGCCACCACCTCGGTCCCATCCCGGGACAGGGCTCGGGGCGGGCTGGTGGAGAGGGGAGCGGTCCCCGCGGTCCGGCAGCGTGGGGGAAGATGGCAGCGGGATCCAGGGAATTGGGGGTGTCTTGGTCATCGGAGCTGGGTGGTGATTTGGGGGTGGCCACGCGTGGCCCTCCCGGTGCCTCCATGCCCCTGCGAAAGGGGTGGTCCTGGGGCTGCGGTGTTGGTGCAGCTGAGGGGGATGCGAGGATGCCCTGGACACCCCTGCCCTGCCCACCAGGGGAAATCAGCTCTGCCCTCCCAGGCTCAGAACCACGGCACAGGCGTAGGCAGAGGATGTGGGGAGGGGCAGGGATGGGATGTGACTCCCTCGAGTCGGGGGACAACACACAGCCCTGGGAGAAGCCCAGCTCAGCAGCCTGGGGGAGGAGGGGTAAGCCCCAAAACCACTTGGTGCATGTGGGGCATTGGGTTAACCAGGGAGTCAAAGGATGCAGGAGGGATCCATCCCTCCACTTACACCTGGATTGGGAGTGAGTCCTTCCCAAGAGCAACTGAAAGCAAACCTGCCCCGGGGCATACAGTGGTGGCATCCCTGGGGGGGTACTGATGGCATCCCTGGGGGTACCAATAGCATCTCCGTGGGTACCAGTAGCATCCCTGGATATTGAGCATCCCTGGGGGTACCAATGGCTCCCCTGAGGGACAGAGAGTATCCCTAGGAAGGACCAATGCCATCCCTGGGGCACTGAGCATCCCTGGGGCACTGAGCATCCCTGAGGGGCCGATGGCATCCCTGGGGCACTGATGGCACCTCGGCTGCCCCTCTGCCCAGCGAGGCTTCACTGCCCCATCCCAGCCTGCCCCAAGCAGCAAGGGACCCCAGGACCCTGCTGGGTGCTGGGGTGCAGGTGGCACTGGCTGGGCACTGGGATTGCCACTCGCAGAGGTGGCCCTGCAGAGCACATCTCTCCACCAGAGCTGATGATTCCCAGGGGAGAAGAGAGGCAGAAGGGAATTACCCGAGCAGGGATTTGCACAGGCCCAGGAGATTGGAAATAACCATAATCTGGCCGTGGGGGTTATTTTGGCGCGGCGGTGGCTGCCCAGCACCCTCGAGAGCGATGCCAGGCTGAGCCCAGCCGGGGGGTGCGGGGGCTGGAGCAGGGATTAGAGGGTGCAGAGATGCCGGGAGGCACGTACGAGTCCCGGGGGTGCCGTGCATCCCTCCCCCCGTGCAGGTCGGGAGGGCAGAGCCAGCCCAGATCTGGGGCAGCTGGAAAATGAGGAGGACGAAGCCTATTAGCAGCTCAGTGCCAGCGAAGCAGAAGCGGGGAGGGAAGCGGATTTGTGGGGGGAAGGGGGCCGGGACCTTGAGCTGGGGATGGCTATATCGGTCCTGGGTTTCAGAGGAGCTTCTGGGGGGCCACAGGGGGGCCCAGACCCTCTACTTGGGCCAGACCTCCAGCAGCAGAGCTTCTGCAGCTGCAGGGATGGGGATGGTCCCTGGGCCAAGGCTGTCCCTGTCCTGGTGCACACATCAGTTGAAAATTAAGGGGAGTGATTCCTAGGCAGGCTGGGGCAGAAAACATCCTGTGATTTCCGAGATCCAAGGGCCTTTCCTACCCTGTCTCTTGCTGCTGGGGGATGGGGGTACCCCATGCCCTGTGTGAACCTTTTAGGGACCTCTCTGAGGTGCAAGATTCCTTGTGAGATTCTGTGAGAAAGGCTGAGCTGTTGGTGGGTCTGGCTCTCGTGCCTCAGTTTCCCAAGGTGCTGAGCCAGCCCGCGGCTGTTGTGGCCAGGGGCCATCTCCCTCCTCCCACTCAGCATAACCATTATTAACCTCCGTGGTTTCCTCTCTTTCCCCATCCACCGCAGCCCAAATTGAGGTGATCCCGTGCAAGATCTGCGGAGACAAATCCTCCGGGATCCACTACGGCGTCATCACCTGCGAAGGCTGCAAGGTGAGCCCGGGGAGGCCGGCTGCGGGCAGGGGGGCGGCCCTGGCGTCCAGCCGGCCACATTCCCAACTCCTCCCGTCCCATCCCGGGCAGGGTTTCTTCCGGAGGAGCCAGCAGAACAATGCCAGCTACTCCTGCTCCCGGCAAAGGAACTGCCTGATCGACCGCACCAACCGCAACCGCTGCCAGCACTGCCGCCTGCAGAAATGCCTGGCACTGGGCATGTCCCGCGACGGTGAGTGCTGCCCCGGGGTCCCCAGGGGCCACCGGCTCCTCCTGGGAGGAGTCAGGCGCTCGGGATGAAGCTGCATCCCCTGCAGGGCCAGCGCGGTGCAAGGAGGGTTTGGGAAGTGAGAAATGGGTTTGTGTTTTCCGTGGGAAAATCGAAGCTGGTTCTGTTTGGTTTGACCCAGGGTTGGTCTGGGACAGGGGGGGCGCAGCCAGTGGGGTCCCAGCCCCTCTTAGGGCTCAGAGACCCCCAGGGCAGGCACTGCCCCGGGATCCAGGACATTCCCCAGGGCAGTGGGTGGTCGTGGCTCTGCCCTGGGGGTGAAGCTGCCCTGACACGGCCGCGTCTCCCCGGGGCAGCGGTGAAGTTCGGCCGCATGTCCAAGAAGCAGCGGGACAGCCTCTACGCCGAGGTGCAGAAGCACCAGCAGAGCCAGGAGCAGAGCGGCGGCACCAAGGACGAGCCCGAGCCCCTGAGCCGTGTCTACACCACGAGCGTCAGCAGCGGCCTCTCGGACCTGGACGAGATCTCCACGCTGTCCGACGGGCTCCTCTTCGACTTCCCCCTGACCCCCGACGGCAGCAGCACCTACTACAACCTGGACCTGCTGGCCTCGGCGCAGCCCTCACCCGACCAGTCCAGCCTGGACGTGGCTGATGCCACGCTCATCAAACAGGAGTCCATCTACGAGTTGATGCTGGAGCCGGCGCTGTTGGCACACGGGGCACTGGAGGGTGCCCAGCTGCCCCCTGACATCTCCGTCCTGGAGATTGGTGAGCACTGCTGCGGTGCAGGGCAAGTGTGGGGTGTGTGTGTCCCTGAGGATGGTGCTTGGGGCCACCCCAGCACCTTGCAGGACCCACACCTGGTCATGGGGAAGGTGTCCCTGCCCACGGCAGGGGGTTGGAATGAGATTTAATAACTATATTTAATATTCTGGTTGGAATGAGATTAATAAATGGATGGGATTTAAGCTTCCAACCCAAACCATTCTGGGATTCAAAGATAGAGAGCCCAGCCTCAGCTCTTGGAGCAGCCCCAAGGCTCCCTGGTGGAGCTCAGCACACCCAAGGTCATGTGGCGCATCCCTTGCTTTAGGCTCAGACCCCCATGACACCGTAAGGGCCCCATCATCCCTCCAGCCCTCAGCCCCAGCAGCCCCAGAGGTGAGGACAGGGCTGGGGTCCCCAGGTCTCACCGCCTGCTGTCCCCACCTTGCAGACCGGGTGGCCCAGAACGTGGTGAAGTCACACCTGGAGACGTGCCAGTACACAACAGAGGAGCTCAAGCGCCTGGCATGGAGCCTCTACTCCCCTGAGGAGGTCCGTGCCCTGCAGAGCAAGGTGAGTGCCACTGTCACAGCCCCCTGGCACAGCCAGGGTCCCCTGGGGCCATGCTGAGGTGGGGATGAAGATGAGGAGGGTCTGTCAGTGCTTTGGGAGCAGCCCAGAGGGGGAGCTCACCTGCCAGGTGTCCTAATGCCACCATCCCCCGTGGATGGCTGGCACTGGGGTCTCATCCCTGCCCTGGGGGTCGCAGAGCTGGGGTGCCGGGGTGCCAGCACCCCCTGAGAGTGTCCCCGCTGTGGCGCAGAGCTGCGAGGCCATGTGGCAGCAGTGCTCGCTGCAGATCTCCAACGCCATCCAGTACGTGGTGGAGTTCGCCAAGCGCATCGACGGCTTCATGGAGCTCTGCCAGAACGACCAGATCATCCTCCTGAAAGCCGGTAAGGGGGGGAGCCCCACCGCCCCCCTTGTGTCCCTGCCACTCCCTTCGTGTCCCCCTGTCCCCCTCCCCAGCCCCTCTCCTGAGCGGCAGCCCTGGGGCCAGAAGCAAATCCCATCTTTTCTCTTGGCTGGTGCTTTCCTTTTGGGGGTCCCCTCCCTGGCTGCCCCAGTTCTCCCAGTGCTGGGGGAGCAGGTGCTGGGCTGGAAGGAGCTGAAGGTCACGAATCAGGGCGATGGTGAAGGGGGGCACGTGGGGAGTGCCTGCCTTGGGCAGAGGCTTTTCTCCATGGCCGCCCTCATCCAAATGTCACCCAGAAACTGGGATGGAAATGAGAACAGAAGGTTTTCCTCTGGGAGAAGGGGTGCCAAACTCAAACAGGAGCAGGGAGGATTGAGAGAAAAGGATTGGCCTTTTCTCCCAGCAAGAGACTGGGAAGAGGAGGATGATGGCAGCGCACACCCACGTCCCCCACCCTTCCATCTGCCCAAGCTGGCAATGCCGTGCCCAGGCCAGGGAGCTGAATGTGCAAAATCCCCAAAACACTGGGAGAACCTCATAGTTTCTAATGTGTCAGAGCTGGGGAGCTGAGATTAGCACCCAGCCCTGGGGACACGTGCCAGCATCCCAGCAGGGTGCTGTACCCCAAAGCCAGAGCTGGCTGTGCCTGATGCGCTGGAGTTTAACTCATTCTTTCATTTCTTCCTTCCATTTTCTTTTTATTTATTTTGTTTTCACCCTTTCCTCTCTCTCGGTGCTCCACCACAACCTCGGTCTCTCTGTGCCTGGCTGCAAATGACTGGATATTTCCCTTCGGTGAAATATTGTGGTCACAATTGGACGCCTAAAAAAACCCAACCGATCCCAAAAACCCAAACTGGATCTGTTGAAATACCCATTCTGCTCTTGGGAATGAACAATCTGGACCTCAAACGTGCACTGGGGGCTTTCCTCTTTCTCACATTTGGTCCTGGGGTGATGGAAACCCCCCTGACCTTCCCCACCCTGCCCTGCCCTGCCCTCGTCTGCGCTCTCTCTGCCTACATCAGGTTGCCTCGAGGTGCTCCTGATCCGCATGATCCGCGCGTTCAACCCCTTGAACAACACCGTCCTCTTCGAGGGCAAGTTCGGCGGGATGCAGATGTTCAAATCTCTTGGTAAGGGCTCGAGCTGCCCCTCCCCTGGGGCTCTCTTTCTCCTTCCTCTGTCTCCTCATCTCCTTTCTCCTCATCTCCTTTCTCCTCATCTCCTTTCTCCTCATCTCCTTTCTCCTCATCTCCTTTCTCCTTTCTCCCTCTCCTCTCTCCCTCTCCTCTCATCTCTTTCTTCTCCTCTCTCCTTCTCCTCTCATCTCTTTCTTCTCCTTCTCCTCTCTCCTTCTTTCTCTTTCTCTCTCCTCCTCTTCCTCTCCCTATCCCCTGTTTTCCCTGTCCTCTCCCTCCGGAATCCAGTCAAGGCTGGAATTTGCAGCCAGGTGAGTATCCAGGACCCCCCCTCCATCCACCCATCTCGTCTCCCANGTGCTCCTGATCCGCATGATCCGCGCGTTCAACCCCTTGAACAACACCGTCCTCTTCGAGGGCAAGTTCGGCGGGATGCAGATGTTCAAATCTCTTGGTAAGGGCTCGAGCTGCCCCTCCCCTGGGGCTCTCTTTCTCCTTCCTCTGTCTCCTCATCTCCTTTCTCCTCATCTCCTTTCTCCTCATCTCCTTTCTCCTCATCTCCTTTCTCCTCATCTCCTTTCTCCTTTCTCCCTCTCCTCTCTCCCTCTCCTCTCATCTCTTTCTTCTCCTCTCTCCTTCTCCTCTCATCTCTTTCTTCTCCTTCTCCTCTCTCCTTCTTTCTCTTTCTCTCTCCTCCTCTTCCTCTCCCTATCCCCTGTTTTCCCTGTCCTCTCCCTCCGGAATCCAGTCAAGGCTGGAATTTGCAGCCAGGTGAGTATCCAGGACCCCCCCTCCATCCACCCATCTCGTCTCCCAAAACCTTTCCAAGCTCCGGGTGCCGCTGGGTTCTGCTGGTGGCTGGGCAGAGCAGTGCCAGTGACAGTGACGTGTCCCTGCTGTCCCCTGCTCAGGCTGTGACGACCTCATCGGTGCCGTCTTCGAGCTGGGGAGGACCCTGTGCCGCCTGCAGCTGTCGGACGAGGAGCTCGCCCTCTTCACTGCTGCTGTCCTGCTCTCCCCAGGTACTGGGGGGCCCCCACATCTGGGGGTGTCCTGTGGGGAGAGCTGACCCCATAAATCATTCCTTGGTGGATGATTTCAGTTATTCCTGGGAAAGGAACTTGGGGGGAAAAATGTGTCGAAAGATGCACAAAATGCATCTGTCAAATTTCCTTGATGGGAAGAGGAACTCTCACCCATGGTGGGGTGGGGAGAATAGAGAGGAACCAAGCATCCCCAAAACCATCCTGGAGATCAGGAAGGGTTAAAAGAGCCAGGGACTCTGCCCTGTGCCTGGGAGAAACCCTGTGCTGACTCTGGCCCTGTGGTTGTGGGAAATGGATTAGCCTCTAATAGTGATTGCATTCTAATAGTTAGTTCTAATTGTGATAGCGTGATTTATAACATATATATTGTCTCACCCTTCACATAAGACTAAAACTAAAACACAAGTTTTTTAAAACACCTCTCTGTTGCCCTATCTCTAAATCAGAAAAGGACCCAATCCAACACGTGGTGACTCTGTCCTTCCTCTCCCACAGACCGCCCGTGGCTGACCGAGTCCAGGAAGGTGCAAAAGCTCCAGGACAAGATCTATGTGGCCCTGCAGCACGAGATCCAGAAGAAACACTCCACTGAGGACAAGCTCTCGAAGGTAGTGGCACAGGAAACCCAGCCAGGGGTGCAGGGGGTGTCTGAGCTGGGCTGACATGGCTGTGCCAGAGCTCATGAGCCACACGTGGGCATTTTGGAGAGAGACACCTCAAACCTGTCAGAGGAGGAGAATTTCTCCTTCCAAGGGCTGTGAATCCCCGTTGAGGTGCAGGCAGAGGCAGCACTGTGCTGCTGAACCTGGCAGTGCATCAGGAAGTGGGGTTTTTGTAGGCAAAAGGAGCCATTTTGGGAATGCTTTGACCTGTACAGAGCTGGGGTGGGGAGGAGACCCCCTGTGGGTTTGGGGCTGCTGCCAGGCTTCCCAAAGGTGAGCAGACTGCTGGTGCCCCAGTGCCAGATCCCCAAACCCACACGCTGTGCCCAGGGACAGCAGTGCAAGGGACACCAGTTGGGAACCCAGTGGTCCCCAAACCCCCCTGTTTGTCCCCAGGGGAGGGGGAAGAGCATCAGGGCCACTACACCCAGCATCCCAGTGGTCACCAGTTCCTTCCCTCCCTGCAGATGGTTTCCAAGCTGCCCTTGATGAAGACCATTTGCAACCTGCACTTGGACAAGCTGGAATTTTTCCGTCTCCTGCACCCGGAGACTGCCATGAACTTCCCTCCCCTCTATAAGGAGGTTTTCAACTCGGAGCTTCAGTACAGCGACCCCCGGGAGAGCTAAGGCCAGGAGCCAGCGGCCCCCTTCGAGCTCCCCAAAACCTGGAGACAAACTGCACTTCAGAGGTTTGGGGCAATTTATTTAAATCAAATAATCAATGGCAAGAGAAGCCCGGGGGGGGCTGCGGTGCCTCCCTGGCCCCGTCTCCTCGCTGTGGATTGCAATAGCTCTTGAATGTAAAGCACCTTGAAGGAAAAAGCAAACGGACTTTGCCATACCAGTGAAATGAATGTGAAATCTCTGCTTGGGAGAGGAGATGCTCCTGGCAGTGGTGAGGGACCGGCTGCTCCCGGTGGCACGGGAGGAGGGAGTGCCCTTCCCGCTGTCCCGGCTGCACTCTCCACCTCCGCTTTTTATTTCTTTATTTTTTAATTATTATTTTTATTTTATTGTGGTTTTTTAAACCCGAACATCAGGCATGGGATAAAGAAGGGGCGATGCTGACTCGGCTGGGTCGGGTTGGGGCTGCAGCTGAGGAGAGGGAAAGGACAGAGCCTTTGCTTTATTTCATCTCCCATGGGTGCAGTGGGACCCCGGGAGCTTGGCCAAGAAAAGTCTGGCTGTGGCTGGTGGGGGATTCAGCACAGGATTTTCCAGTGGGGGAAGCTGGTTTGAGGGAAAAGATGCCCACTGCAGCAGGGGAAGAGTTTTGCAGGGTCTCCATGCCCTCCATCACAGCATTTTCCCAAATTCCCAGCCAGCTCCTCATCCAGCTGTGTGACCAGCTGACTTTGTGGAGCTGGTTCAGCAGGTTCACCTGCCTCGTGCCACCTCTGTGCATCCCAGAAGCTTTTCCAGGCCCGTGGGACTTCAGCCAGAGCCCAAATCCTGGCCATCCCACCCCAGAGGCACCCGTGGCCACTGGAGGGGCTCCAGGACTGTCCCTGTCCCCGTGGTGGCCGCAGCAGCAGTGGCTCTCTGGGTGCTGTGTTGTGTGTAGTTCTCTTATCAATTCCTTAAAACTGCCCCATGGCTCAGCACCCAGAGCAGGGTTTGTGACCCTTTCCCCACCCAGCCCACAGCTGGTCCCACTCCCAGGTTCCCCTTTCCCACAGGAGCCCAGATGTGGCTGCCTGCTGCTGCAGGCTGAGCTGGACCCAGGCTTTCCCCTCACTGAGCTCCCCAGAACTGTTATTTTGGGAGTTGCTCTTGAGTTAGCAGGATTTAGGAGTTTTTAAGGGGAGAAACTGCCTGTTGGAGTCAAGGGGAAGTGAAAGGTCCTTATTTTTCCCTTTGAGGAATAAGGCTGGTTGGAAGGAATGTGGGGTTTGGGACCTGCTGCTCCTTTTGGGAGGCTCAAAAGGGGATGAAGGTGGGATGATGCTGTTCTAGGCCACAGCAGCAGGGGATGCTTGAGAGACTCTGTGGCTCTGCAGAAGGATTTTTCTGTCCCTGCTCCTGCTCCCGCTGCAGCAAATGCCAAAAAACTACAAGGGAAAAATCTGCTCTGAGGCAGCCCCAGTTTTGCTGACAAAGGGCTAAAATCCCAAGCTCCTTTCCTGCTTTGTGCTGATTCCTCGTGCACCCAACCCCATCTTCGGGCAACTCGGATCATCCCCGAGCGTGAGCCAAAACCTTTGGATTCGTAACTGCGCCCTTTAAACCAAACCAGCAGCTTTCTTAGCGACTTAGTGAGGGATATTCCTGCTTTTATTAAAAGACCTCCTAGGGAAGACCATGGACCAACCTCGATGAGGGAA